TTTATTTAATCAGTCCCTTATAAATGAATATTCAAGTGTTTCCAATTTTTCCGATTATGCAGCACATTATGATCAGATGACTTACATACACACGTTTCCACTCTATCTTATTGTTTCTTTAGATAAATGATTAGAAGTAACATTGCTTCGATAAAAGAAATATGCTTACAGATTTATGCATCCTAGCAGTCTGCCCGCCTGGCTGGTTGTGCCTTTCATTACTGCCACCAGTGGGGACTATCCCTGTTTCAGACATCTTTGCCAACACTAGGCTTTGATTAAGCCTTTATATCTTTGTTAAGATTTATTTTTTCATCTATCTTTTCTAACCCATTAATATATCCCTAGTAATAGAAGCTTTTTGTTCCTTATGCATGTGTTTTTATTACCTCTGGGCTGTGGGCTTCCTGAGGAAAACAACCTTCATTCATTTTGGTGATGTCCACTAATCAGTGGTCCATTTCATTGGATCTAGAACAAACACTTCTCCTTTCTCAGTGAGTCTTTGATGCTTTAAAGCAGATCCAGGCCTTACACAAAGTCACCTATTTATTTGTCAAAGAGTGGCTAAGTGGGGGAGATGGTTTCAAGTGATTAGAAATTAAACTTTACATTGAGAATTTCCTTTCCTTTCGATCTTAACTCTTTTATTCCCCGTAGGTATCTCCATAGTACAATGGATTTAGAGGAGCTGAGTGCTGCACCCACAGCTAAAGAAAGGGACAGAGATGGGATGAGGAGGGAGAGTCTGCCAGACAAGCACAGAGGTGACTTCCAGTGTGTTGTCACCCTATCCTTGTCCCCATTTCCTCTCACTGTCTCCCACCACCCGGACATAGAAACCCTCTGCCCAGTCAGCGCATCGGCAAAGACTTTTGCAAGTGTGGTTCCCAGAAGAAAATCGTCTGGGTCCAAAGTGAGAGCAGGTGGCTGGCGATTACCATCGGAGGGTTTGGAGCGTGACGTGAGAAGATGAGGTGCAGGCATAAATGCTGTCTTATGTGCTGCCCGCCGAATGACAGTAGTCCAGAAAACGATGTAGAAGATAGTAAAAGACTTAGAGAGTTTTCCACATGAAAAGTTGAAAAACCCCACTGCATTCTAAAGAAATCATATGCCACTTTAAATGAGTACAGATCTCAATATTCCAAAGAATCACACCCTCTCTAATAATAATGGTGCTTAACATTTGTGCAGTGCAGAGTCACAAACTTAGGCCCCTGGGTTACATTCAGCCTTCAAATATATTTGGTTTGGCCCATGCAGCGTTGGCCAGATAGTGTTGTAAAATTTTTTAGTAGTTCTGCAGATTTAAAATCACACACAGGCTGGCTGTTCACCAAACTACTTCTGCGTATTCCTGGCACCCAGCTTGAGTCACTTCCCAGCCTTCATTGCAGACGTGTATGTCCATGTGATAGAGTTTTAGCCAATGAAGTGTGAATGAAAGTTATGGGCACCTCCTCCAGGTCCAGCCTGTAAAAACCAACCATGAGCGACCCTCCCAGGCTCTTCCCTTGGCTGTAGGTAAATATACAGGGCAACTTGTTAAAGATGATAGACACCTAGTATGTTTCCCTGAGTGACAGTGTGGAGCAGAGCCTCCTTACCCACTCTTCCTCCTCTCCATGACCCTGCCCCGACCTGGAACAAGATTGTGTGAGCAAGAGATCAATTTACGTTAGGTTTGAGCCCTTAGGTATGTTGAGGTCTATCTGGTTCAGCAGTTAGAGGACCTTAGCTAATATGCTCTGTAGTAAGGATCATAAAATCACTAGTCTGGCATGATCCACTCCCTGGTACCTCTAATATGTTACCTGTTTATATTTCCTGCTAGGCTCCCTTACGTATTACAATTTGAGACTTTTATATGGTGCTTTATGGTTTACTAGGCACACGCACATTCATTATCCTTTGAACCTTTCAATAACTCTATGAGTTATTGGCAAACTAGACAGCATCATCCTTTTTTCAGTAAGATCAATTTCACTTAAATAAATAGTTGTTGAGTGCCTACCACAAATCAGGCATTGCGCTGGGCCCAGGAAACGCAAAGACGAGACGTGAGGAATTTGAAACTTGGAAAGCTTTTACTTACATAATCATACATTTGCCAAGTCACAGGCTACTAAAAGAAATGGCAGATAGGATTATGGAACTACCAAGAACAATCTTTAAGAAACTGTGGTGATCTAGAATAATACCAGAAGATAAAACATGGACAAAAGTTTGGATTTTCAAAAGGCAAGTAAGGTGGTTTCTTCAAATTGCAAAACAGTGTATTTACTGTTGATATCATGAAAAAGTTTAAAAATCATTATTTCACCAAAGTTCTGTGAGCACTTAGAAAAGAGGGGATTGTTCCTGGAAATGAGAATCAGTTCACTAAGAGAAAAACCTTGCTGAAGCTAATGTACTCCTCTTTTGGATAGGGTCGTTACTCTGTGAGCTATGGAGAAGATCACAAAGATGGATGTCTTAGTTTGCTCTGGCTACAATAACAAAATACCATAGATGGGTGTCTTAAACAAGAGAAATTTTCTTTTTCTCCCAATTCTAGAGGCCAGAAGTATAACATCAAGATGTCAGCCAATTCCGTTCTCCTGGTGAGAACCATCCTCACGCCTTGCAGGTGGCTGCTTTCTCACTGAGTCCTCGCATGGCCTTTCCCTGGTGTGTGCATCATGTGGAGATCAGAAATCTCTCTCTCTTCTTTTTCTTCTAAGGCCACCAATCCTAGTGGATTAGGACCCCATCTTTATGACCTAATTTAATCTTCCTTACCTCCTAAAAGCCTTCCCTCCAAATATAGTCACATTGGGGGTTATGAATTTGAGAGGGGGTCACAATTCAGTCTGCAACAATGGTGAAATTGATTTTAACAAAGGATCTGACAAAAATATTTTTGATCACTATAGACGAATTGAAGACATATCCTAGAAAATGGTAAATTTAGGTGAATGCAAATGTTTTTGAAGTCAAAATATGTGGATTAATGAATAATTGTCAAACTTGAGAGAGGTCTTTGTTGGCATGCCCTAGGTTCTGGAGGTTAACATTTTTATCAAGAACTTAGGTATAAACATAGAAAATATGCTTGTTGAATGTGCAGCTCGTACACTGGATGATAAAATCAAGATTCAAAATGATTTCAAGGGGCTAGATTTATGGGCTCAACCAATGAAATGTCATCCAGCAGGTAAATGCACGGTACTTTAATGAGGATAAAGAAATTCTGCAAGAAAAGATGATGGTTGCAGAGAATCTTTGGCAAATAAGTCACTGCACCCTAGGGTGTACTCCCAGAAGTCTAGTGTTCATATCAAGGTAATGGTCCCACGACACTTTTTGCTAATCAGACCGTATTGTGTCTGGTTCTAGGAGACATATTAAAGGGAGAGGGTCATTGATAAACTGGAAAAGACCCAGGAGGATGACCTGGATGGCTCAGAGCTTATTTCAATTCAATTGGTATGGTTCTATGCAATATTGGCTCAGCAGCCTGGGGAGAGTTAACTTAGAGATACTGGGAGAGAATAAGAAACTGTCTCCAACTATAAGAAAAGTTGTAGGGGCTGGCCCCATGGCTGAGTGGTTAAGTTCAGGAGGAGACTCCGCTTCAGCAGCCCGGGGTTTGTTGGTTTGGATCCTGGGCGTGGACCTACACACTGCTCATCAAGCCATGCTGTGGCGGCGTCTCACATAGCAGAACTAGAATGATTTACAAATAGGATATAGCTGGGGCTTTGGGGAGAAAATAGAAAAAGAGAAATATTGGCGATAGATGTTAGCTCAGGGTCAATCTTCCTCACCAAAAAAGCATTAAAAAAAAGTTGTCATAAAATGGTTGTATCTAGGTGGTAAGATTATATAATAGTTTTATTTTCCTCTTTCATTTAGTTTAAAAATATCTACCCTATTTAGACTGCTTACAATGCCACCAGTCACTGTGTCAAGAACCTCACAAAACGTCACTCATCTTATTCTTTAGAAAAATCTGGTGAGAAAATAGTCTTGTTCCCATATTATTGATGGAGAAACTGAGGGCCAGGGAGGATAAGTAGCTTTTCCAAGGTCACGCAGCTAGTAGGTGAAGGGACAGGTTTGAACCAGTTCTGTGAGACTTTAGAGTCCCTGCTCTTGGCTGTTACACTTTATTGCCCCTCTGTTCTTTCTAAATACTCTCTAGTAAACAAAACCTTACACATATATCTAAGGAAAACATCTTTTTAAAAGGAAACCAGTAAGCAGAAGGGCAAAGAGGCAGAGGCGAGGACAATGCATGGAGTTTAAGGCAGTTAAATTTAGGTCAGTATCGGGAGGAAACATCTAACAATGAAAAATTTCCATGAGTGGAGTGGTTTGGATTGCTTTGATGGTCTGGATGACCATCTGTCAACGCAATTGAGAAGGAGAGCATTAGATTATCAGCCTCTCAAGATGCTCTATATTCTGTCTAAAAAGATCCGTCCATTCCTTCACTCATCACACAATCACTGAGAACCCCCTATGTGTCAGATGCTGATCTAGGCTCCAGGGACACAGTAAACAAGTCCCTTCTCTCACTGAGTTTATATTCTAGTCTGGGAGATAAACACATAAAAATATGCGTCTAATATACCAGGGGATGATAAGTACTATGAACAAGGACTGAGCCGGGTAAACGGATGGAGAATGTTGCTGGAAAGGAAAGAGGGAGGAGATCCTCTGTATAAATGTCAGTAAGAACTCATATCTAATCCTCCTAAAGCATAAGTCTTACCAAGTCATTTCTTGATATGACCTTCAGTGGCTTAAAATATTAAAATAGTCCCAGTGGCTTCCCGTTTCATTCAGAGTAAAATCCAAAGTCCTTACAATAGCCTGCCATGTCACACATAACTGGCTCCCACTCCCACTGCTGCCATGACCTCATCTACGACTCCACTCACATTCCCTTTGTTCAAGTCACAGTGGTCTCCCAGCAGGTCCTGACACATGCCTAGCTTGTTCCTGCCACAGGGACTTTGCACTTACTCTTCCTGCCGCCTAAAACCTTCTTACCCCAGGTATCTGCATGGCTCATTCTCACCTTCCTTGGACTCTGCTCAAATGTCATCAGAGAAGCCCTCATAGATAACACTAAATGAACCAGAGGTGCTTCATCCATCACTTTCTCTCCCCTGACCCAAGGACCAGCTACATGCTTTGAGGGGCCCAGTGCAAAATGGAAATGTGAGATCCTTGGTTCAAAAAGCAAGGGAAAAAATACGTGATGTTAAAGGTACTAAAACAGGGAACTTTTTCCTTTTTTCCATGACTTCTCTGTCAACATGTGATCTTGTTTATTTCCTCTTTAATGCTATGCTCCCTAAGACACAGGAATGCTTGGAGACTAAGAGCAGACCTTCAGAAACACCTGGGCTTGCCTGTCCACCTTGGGTTGTGATGGTGGGCCTGGAAGAAGGGGACATGTCTGGCTCAACTTCCCTTCCTCCATCTGGGCACAGCACGTCAGTCTGGCAGCCAGGGGGAGGGGGCATCTGGCAGCCAGTGCGCTGCATGCAGGCACTAAGTCTCGGAGTGGAGATTACAAGGTCAGTGCCATGACGCACTAGGTACATGGATTGGGGATGGGAGAGAGGCTCAGCCCCATTGAGTCACCCACCCAATGACCATGGTGCTGCAAACCCTGCGATGAGGACAAATACTATGCCCCACCCTGAGATGCCACAGGGCGTGTGTGCCCAACCCTGACCCTTCCCATGTCTATGTCAAGGTCCTCACTGGGGCAACAGGGTGGCAGTGGTGATGGGATGGGGCATAGATGGGAAGGCTAAGCAGGGCCTGGAGTGCCAGAAGGTGGGAAGAGGCATCTGAGCGCTTGTCTGATGAGGGGGCAGGAGGCAGGATGAGGCTGAATCTTCAGCTGCTCTCTGCATGCTGCATTGTCCCATCAGACTTCACTCGTAAAACTCAAATTCAAAGACAAAATTGTTAAGAATTTCAAGACAGTGACCACAGGGCATTAAACCCCAAGTGTGGGGCCTTTCTGAGCACAAGGCCCTGTACAACTGCACAGGTCACAGGCCCTTGGTGCTGGTGCTGCCTGACTCCGTTTGATTCTGCCCAGCCTTGTCAACACCATATTATATGTTTATTTGATTGTTTGTTTATTATCTGTCTCCTTCTGCCAGAAGTAAGCTCCACTGGAGCAGGGCCTTTGTCCCTGTCTCTGTGTGTCTTCTGGTGCTTTAGGATAAAGAGGAGAGTCTTCACCATCCTGAGGGGTATGGATCCGGTAAATAGTGACTGTTGAACTCAACCCCAGAATGCCAATCCACGAAACCTGGAAAACATTGCTTCAGGTCTAATGACAATTAATGCCTGTACAATGTGAGTTGAAGGATACACATGAAATACCCACCAAGAAGGTAGGAAAGAAAAGTAGAAATAGGTTGAAGGAAGATTTAGATAATTTTAGAGAAGACATGTCAATTCTACTCAGAAATTTTTAAGCAAAGGACGTGTAAGGGCCTTAAACATGAAACCTTCAAACCAGAGTGCCAACAGTCTCAAAATCTTCAGGGGCCACTGCCAGAGGCTTAGCCCTGGGCGAGTGGCCATGGCTGAGCAAGTGTGGCCTTCTTTTGTCCACCTTTTCTCGTGCTTTACTTCAGAATACGGCTTAGTACCTGGGCCAGGTGCTCTGAGAACGTACAACAGAAACATAAAATATAATTCCCATCCGTATGTAGTTTTCAGTCAATCTCCGAGGAGAAGAGCTCATACAGAGGTAGTTTCTTACTGAAGTATCTGACTATGGCTTTGCAGAGGAGCTGAAACAGGGCCAGAGTTGGAAAATTAATGCTGTGCCTCAGAAGGAAGTGAGGAAAGCCTTCAGTGATGGCGAGTAGGGTGGGTCCAATGCAAACAGACAGGAGAAGTCTCCCTCACGGGGGCAGGGGAGGGCAGCATCCTCCTATATTATCTAGCCCATGATTTGGTGAGCAAGTCTGAGATTACAGCAATGAAAATATTCCAAATCCTATTAAGCATAGAACATGAAATGAAGTCAGTTCCTAATATTGACTTTTACTTGGTATTTCAGTTCCTAAAAGTCCCCAGACATCATGGAAGAATTAAAACACTATATTAAGACAGAGCAAATACAGATGACTTGCAATAATTTGCTTGAGCATTAGAATAAATTTTAAAATGGAGGAAAAAAGTCCTAGGCATTTTTCTCCTATAAAATCCTAGATGTTTCAGTTGTAAGAAGATTTATCTATCTATCTTAAAGGTTCTCAAGTCTTGATATATATACTGAGAACATATAATGTGCCAGGCATTATACCAAGTTTAAAAATGAAAAGGAGTTCCAGACACCAGGCAAAGCACGAAGGCCAACTAGGAAGATCCTACAGAAAACAGAGAGGAATTTTTCCTTACAACAGAACAGAGAAACAAAATGCAAGTTTTGGACAATACCACCAAAGAAACAATCCAGAGAGAGGAAGCAGTTTCAGTAAACCAACATATCTGAAAAATTAATTTGGACATAAAATCAAATTTCCTACTTCAGTCTCATTGTAATCATCTGGTTACTCCAGGGAGATCTTAAACTTCCTCTGGATAATCATTTACAAAGTGCTGAATGTAATCGGTGGAGCATAAAAAGCCAGGTGAGGTACTAATGAGCCAGAAAATATGTTGGTTCCACAGATTCTCCCCTTTGGTTTCAGGAAGCCTTAGATTTGTGCTTTTAGGGGTATATTAGACAGAGATCTTCAAAGAAACAGAAGCAATAGGATGTGCGTGGTATGTGTCTGTGTGTATGTATGTCTGTGTGTATGTATGTGCGTATATGTATATGTGTGCGTATATATAGAGAGAGACAGACAGACAGACCAAAAGAGAGAGGAAGATTTCTTTTAAGGAATTGGCTCATGTAATTGTAGAGCCTGGCAGGTCCAAAACCTGCAGTGTAGGCTGACAAGCTGGAGACTCAAGGAAGAGTTGATGTTGCTGCCCAAGGCTGAAAGCAGTGTGAGGGCAGAATTCCTCCTTCCTCTGGGGGCCACAGTCTTTTTCTCTTAGGGCCTTCCACTGATTGGATGAGGTCCACACAAGGTATGGAAGATAATCTGCTTTACTCAGTGTCTACTGATCTAAATGTTAATCCTATCTAAAAAAGACCTTCACAGCAATATCCAGATGGGTGTTTAACCAAAAACTGGGTATCATGGCCTAGCCAAGTTGACACATGAAATCAATCATCGCAAGAGTTGTAGTTTTCCTTCAAGCAGGACTGTCACTGAGTAAAAGGGGAAAGGGGCTGTTGCCTTCAGGGTTAGCCTCTGTAGGCATACAGCACGCTCAGGGGGAGTCAGTGGCTTTGAGCAGGATTTGGGCAGAGGGTACACCTGGGCTGCTCCCTGTCCTTATCCTGGGCACAAGTCTGGTCTGTCTCCCCTGTGGGTTACTGTTTGGGGAGCAGAGAGAAAGGCTGGCCGAGAAGCAGCAGGATATGGAAAGTGGATAGAAGTGTAGGGGAGAGCAGGGTGTGAGGAGGAGCACATTTCATAAACTTTTTAGCCCCTCAGAAGTGAAAGAATGAAATGTCCCAGAGTAGTCCCAACAACTGAGAAGCCCCTTCCTCACAGATCCTGTACTCCTGAACGTCTTCCCTGGAAAACTTCTTCCTGGGATGTGGGCCCCCAGGCAACACCATCGAGTTGAAGGGTTCTATAACCGAAGGGACTTCTGGACCAGTGAGCTCAGCTCTTTGCCTAAGAGGGAGAAAAGGGAGCTCCACAGTCATAGCTGGTCCACCATGGTGCTGGTGCGCTGTCTTGGCCTCCTTCTCACATGCCAGTGCTCTTCCTATCCTGGTGAGTGATTTTTACCCATATGGTAGAGCCAGAGAAGTGGATCTGTTCTGGGTTGGGAAACTGGACCTTGTTCCTCCCTATACTCAACACCATAAATCAGGATATTAAGAGTGGAAGATCTTTCAGTGCTCCGTTCCACGGCTACTTCCTTTAATCCTGAGGACACAATTCGACCCATTATTATTCTGTAAATTTAAATTAAATTTTTAGTTTGCATTAATTTCTAAACATCATAATGGCTAGTCCTAATCAAAGCCATTACTAGTGAATATTAAATTAAAATATTAAATATAAATATATATATATTTCACATAAATTCTTGTTTCTTCAAATTACTATTGCCAAAGGATTATAACATTCATGTCTATTGATGTCTGTTATCTTGTTAATACATTGCAAAATAAATGTCATGTCACATGAAGCACCCACGGAAATAAGAAGGTATCTATGTATGTGTCTTTTTATTAGTGAAGAGACTTTTCTGAGAAACCACTGCCGCCTCCAGCAGACTTTTCTTGGCGGGAATTGTGTTACGTGTTTCTAACCCAATCATTAGTAGGGGGAGAGGAGAGGCATGGCTATGTGGAGGACTGGCAGGATTTCTCCCAAATTGGGGTTCTGATGGAAAGGAGGAAGTCGGGGGAATGAATGTTATGTAGGTGGCCAAAAATGCCTGTCACACCTTTGACTGGACAGCTTAAGAGAAACAGAGTTAGAATATCAGTGCTAGGGAGTTATTATGGGGAATTATGTTTTTTACAGCTCTGTAGAGCATGAATTATAATATCAGAATTCAAGTATCATGCTCCAGGGCAAAGTTGAGGACACTGGACATCCAGGAAGAGAAGATGGGTCATTTGAAGTGAACATTCAAGGACCTCATCATGGCACTAAATCAGCCCTGCTGAGAGCTATATGGCTGGGGCCAGGCACAATTTATGGGGAGTCAAAGAGGGAATCAGTGATTTTCTTTAATCTTCAAGCTGTGTAGTTATGGGGAAGCAGTTGCTTTAAAACACACACACACACACACACAATAAAATATTAGCACTTTTGGTAAGTTGTGTTCTCTCCATCAGAGGAAATAAACTGAATTGTAAGATAATCTCTGTCCGTTCAGATCCAAAAATTTTCCCTGTTAAAGTCAAGGCCTGAACACAATGCCAAAGCTAAATAAACTGCCGATGATGGGCTGTGAATTGACGGATGAGTGGACACGATTCTCGCCCCGCCTAATCCCACAAAGACAAATAGGGAAGCTGGTGAAAGATCAGCTGTAAAAAAGTCCGACCACTGAGACAGTCAAGCCTGTGCTTCCAGGAAAAGGAGAATCCCCTCTTGCTCCCGCCTTCCCAGTAGGGCGTCTCCTAAGGGCAGCCTTGGGCAGGCTGTATCTCCACCAGAATAAGCAGTTGTCTCACATCTGGACTCTGGACTTCAATAAAAATCCCTCACAGATTGTCAGGGGAGGCCAAGGCAATGGGATTTACATTTTGGAATGGAGTTATCATTCTAAGAGTTGTGCAATCACAATGAGTTGCCATGAATGGGCTCCTAAATAGAAAATAGAGGTGACCTAGATTAGGTTTCTATCTGAATTCCCTTAGGTCCACACTGATATTTTTCGTTCTGATGTACACAGATTTTATTTATTTTCATGGTTATTATGTCTTGAAATCTCTTTGGACCTTTGAGTTATCGATTCGTCATAAATGACAAAAAGATAATCATTTGATTGGATCTAGAATGTATGTAAAAAATAGATATTCATTGGGCCAAGAAATACCAAAAATTTACCTCACTGCTAGAGAAACACATCTAAGAATAGGAGGAAACATCAGAAAAGTAGCATTTCAGAGATGGTTGCTCTTGGCTGGTGGTAGTGCTGGTTACACCACAGTCTACGTTCTCAGGCAAAGGTCTCAATATACCATTGATGGAAAAGATGCAGGGGAGAAAAGGAAAGAATGGAAGTAGAAATCACAAAAATGTCCAATATTACAGGAATGAGAGAAAGAATAGGAATAAGACAAAGCAGCCCACTCTGCTGGATGCTGCAGAACTGAGAGGAAGACGAAGATTGGCGTTCACTGAGACGTTGTTTGATGAGAGCACGTTATTTGTCAGATACAGGGCTAGATTCTCGGAATACAGAGGAAATATAAAACATAACTTACCTTCACATAACTTACAACATGATATGGAAGAGAGATGTGAAAATAATTTAAATGCAAAGAGACAAATGGCACATTAAAATTATGTGCTGTGGTAGACGAGAAGAAGAGAAGAGGGAGAGCAGGAATCATAAATGGTTTCTTGGAGAAAGTGATATTGGGCTGTCTTGATGAGGAACGTTCATGTGGAAAAGGAAGATGTAGGTGTTACAGACTGATGAAGAACATGGGTAAAGGAGAGAAGGTGGGAGACTGTGGTGCTTGGGAAAGGACAGTTAAACTTGGCTCAAGAATATGAGGTTCACGCAGCTGAAAAAGCCAACAGAATGCAGATCACAAAGGGTCACCCACACATGTAAACCATGAAAGAGTTTGCATTCCATCTGCAGGGAGTAAGGTGCCATTGAAAGATTTTTAAGCAGGAATTTGAACAGCTAGTTTCCTATTTCAGGAAGATCTCTTAAGTGACACAAAAGGATGGATCAGAATGAAGGAATAGCTAGTGTGAAGACTATTTGCCTTCTGCAAAGGTCTAAATGAGAAGAAATGAGAACTAGAACTGAGGCAATGACAGTAGGATGGAGAGAAAGGACAGATCAAGAAAGTCTTTGGAAGCTTACAAGTGATTTTTGGGACTATTTCATAGAGGAGATGAAAGAGATAAGAGAAAGTGAGGGTGACTTCCATGTTTTGGTTTGGATCAATGAGAAGAGAGTGTAGGATGATGGCAGTGTCATTAGTTGAGTTGAGGGCTATGAGAAACTGGTCGATTTAGGAAGGATTGACATAATGAGTTCAATGTTGTATATGTAACAAAAATATTACCATTGGATTTGTTGATTGGAAAGTCCATTGGTGATGAGAGAGACAAAGATGGAGCGACAGAAAGAGTCTGAGAAAAATAGAGAGGCACTGGGAGAAGAGAAAAAGAGAATAAACCAGAAACTCTGAGAGGGAAACTCTGGGACTGTCTCTAGTTTATTGAATTTTTCTGTCACTTATTGCAGTTTTCCATCACTTCTTCCTCATTGTATGTATTGTATAAATCTTGAATTGAATTGAGAAAAAGAAAGGGTTAAAACTCTATTAGGAAGTGGGCTCAATTCTACCAGAAATATTTGCCAAAATTTCATACAACTTAAAAAAATCCACAGATGGAGCTGGCCCGGTGGTGTAGTGGTTAAATTTGTGTGCTCTGCTTTGGTGGCCTGGGGTTCTCAGGTTCAGATCCTCAGCTCAGACCTAGCATCGCTCGTCAAGCCACGCTGTGGCAGCATCCCACATAAAATAGAGGAAGATTGGCACAGCTCAGGGTCAATCTTCCTCACACACACACACACACAAATATCCACAGAGCCACTATGGTATAATCTTTTAAAAGTTACTCTAGAGAAATGAGATCACCTAATTGGAATTTGGACATCTAAAAGAATGAACATCTGGCCATTATTTTGGCCCTATGCTAGTATTAAACAACACAGTGGATAATGTTGCTGTTGTTTCATAAGTGAAGGGTTGATAGATTCATTGTCTGAGAGCCCACGACAAGCCACTTGTGAATGACTGTGTCTTTGAACTGATACATGCTTAGAAGTTGGCCTTCATTCTAATGTAGAAATAACTCAATTCTCCAGGCTCAGTCATACTTGTATTTGTTCCTGGAATAATTTCTAGGATTGAAAAAAACCCTCTGTGAGGAGCAGATGTTCTAATGAAAGATTTTTGTATCCCGGCAAAACTACCTCTTATTCTCCATGGCAGGGGTTTTATCTGAGGGAGAGTATGAATGCAGAATGATTTGAAAATCTGGCCAAAACACCCGGAAGTACCCATTTCAACTGCGTTATATTTACATAACAGAAACCCTAGAGAAGATAGGCATATAAAACCTCATCTGCTGTGGTGGAGTTAACACACTTTTTTTTGATGGAAACTTCTTTAGGCTTCCCTGGGATTATTTTGCCTACATTAATCTCACCAGATACTATCCCAGACAGACGTGGCTACTTAATTCTTTCAAGAAAAAATAAATAAAGTCAGTGAATATTTTTATTCTGTTGGGTTAACCAAAGAGTTTCCAGATAGATATTTGAAATATTTGAAATTGTAGGAGGTAGGGACAGGCTTTAGAGGGCAGGACAAAGGTTATCTGGGTTCAAATAGCAAAAGACAACAGGAAGTAGGAATTGCGAGCCTTTTCCCTATGTCTCTAGTGATTTGCTGTGCGTCTCTTGGGCAAGGGATTCCTACTGAATAGACAGGATAACAGGAAAAACTAAAGAAAGACATGTGCTGTTACCTTTGTGTGTCTCTAATTAGAATGTAAGGCCAATGAAAGCAGGAATTCTGCCTTCCATTTGAATCCTCAGTGCCCAGTACAGCAAGGAAGTGGGAGCAGAATACCAAAGGGAGGGGAAGTCTCTGGAAGGAGATTTATGGCTTACAGCTCTATTCTGCCTCACTCTGGCTTTTGGTAAAGCACTTTGATAGTATTGGGATGACCTCGTAGATGTTCCCATCAGCACTCTTTCTATAGTGGGGACTTGTAGATACGTCTAGGAATAAACTCCCAGTAGGGAACAAGAACAAGAAAATAGGCTTCCTTTTTTTTTTTCTCAAGCTCCTGACTGATTGAAACTGCCTTTAAAAAAAAAAATTCAAAGCAATCCTTTCAAATTCCAAAGTCCATCTTTCTGTATTTGTCCTCCTTATCAAGGAGCTAATTGAGTTGGTTGAAAGTACCAGGCTATGAGTCAAAGAACTAATCAGCACTTCGGGGTGCTTTTGTGTTGGTTTGGGTATTTCTTTGATGTTGGACATAAGGAAGGGCATGTGGTCTGTAGACAAACACTTCTGGGTGATAAGAACCGCACAATCAAGCCCATGAGTGATCATGAACACATGCTTCCTTTAGGCAGCTGCTCTTTCCCAGAATGACACTTGGACTTGACTATATCCAGGCACAGTTTGCTGTCACCTTGGCAGCACCTTGTAGTGAATGGCCGCATGTGAGTTACCTGCACTGACAGAAATCCCATCTGGCACCTTCTAGACTATCGTTTGTTGGTTTAACCTGCTGCTGTGGCAGTCCTCGTTTTCGTCTCTCAGTAATTCAAAATAAACCACCTCATGAACACTGGCTGAAGGTTGGAAAAAAGATGTCAACACACTCCTCTTCCTTCTGACTGGCACTCTCACCAGTCCTTGTCATTCTTGAATTAGGAACGTAATGGACCATTCCTTTTACTTTTACTGCTGTTCAGATCACTCTCCTTTTTTATGCAGGATAGTTGAAAAATGGTTGAAGCCACAGATTCCCGCTATTTGGAGTTTTTCTACATAAACATTTTTCTCCTGTGACTCCTGGGGTTCTCTTCCTTGGCCAGTCAAGGGATCTGTTGGCTTTCGATTGCCCTGCCACACTTTAGGAGATGTGTATTTTGTATGAGCAAGTACAACTGAATGGCATTTGAGCTTTCACCATTAGAACACAAAACTACCTCCTGCTGGAATTTTCTTTGTTCTACCTCTAATTTCTGGCCATACATTTTAGGCAGCTCTGAGACAGTGCGGACCCCGAGAGTAACCAGAATCTTGCTGTGCTCAACCTGTTGAGAGACATATGGACTGAGCCCCATCAGCTTCGGAAACCTATCATTTCTCCAGGTTTAGGAAGGAAAAAGAAAGACAGAGAATATTTGGGTTTTCCTTGTTTCTGAAATGACATGCTCAGGGTTCCCAAGGAGCTCTCATGCTTTTCTTGCTGACTCCTTTCATGATGACAGGATTATGACTTAGCATGAGGCTTCTTCCCCCATCCCGTCATTACCCACCATGGCTTCTGTGATGTCACTCCTGAGGTATAGAGCTCCCGTCTGGCATAGCAAGTTTACTACTCAAAGAAACCCTCTCCCCTTGTCCTCATTTCTTTTTCCCTCTCTCTCTATCTATTTGCAAAGCTAAAATTGTGAGTATGTTGAGATCAAGATATCACTTTAACTCAAAGTCATAGGATAAAATAAATGATAAATTAGAAATTACTTGCGAACCACTCAGTTAATGCTGATCAGAGATTTCAAAAACAGTCCTTTTCAGAATATGGGATGGAGTCCTTCTAATGTGATAACTCAACGTTGTTGAAAGTCTTGCTGCTGAAGGTGATAAGTTTGTACAAAGACGACTTTCCAGAGTAGAGCATCTATGCCTTTCAAATCACTCCTCTATCAGCTTTGTTTTCCTTGATGGCATCTAGCTTTTTTACTTTACCTCTTCCATGAGATTAGCACTGGTTATATTACAGTGTCATAGTCAATCTTTCATGAGATACCATCTTGGCCGTGTGACACGACAAACTAAGAAACTCTGACTTGAATGCAAAGCCAATGTGAACCAATCTGTAGGCATTTCCTTTCTGCAATTTGTGAAATGGTGTCTACCTGTCAAGTGACTGAAAAAATAAATCAGTTGTGCTTGCAATGGGATGCTACTGGAATCCACAGAATGTCGGGGGAGTAATCAGGAAAAATTCACGCGGTTCTTTTAAAATTTTTGTTTCATAATTCCCTCTGCCTTCCTTATTTTTGGTTTATCTTTGAGACTAGGGTTCAAGTGGAAGTCAAACAGCAAAAGAAAGGGATATCTAACAAAATTCTGGAGACTTTAAACCAGAAGCCTGACAATCCTTCAAAAGCAGGAGTATAATCTGGCCCCACAAAACTAAAAAGTCACCTGAAAATGAGCTGCTTGGACCAGGCATTGCTGAGAGATGGAGAGGTCTTGATCTGTTAGGTGACTGGCACTGTGGTCTGGGTGTACAGGGTCTGTGAGCATCCCATGGTCACCAGTGGTCCTCTCTCAGCAGCATGCACATATGGATATTTTGATTTATATCCTTTGTCATGTTGCACTTTTGGTGCTATTTGTCTTATAGTGAAATGAAATGATAGATGGGAATACTCTGAAAAAGTTCAAATTGTTATGGAAATAGCGAGTTTTAATATAACCAAAGGCAGATAAGAATAGGAGTCTCAATTTCTGTTGGCTTGTATTCTAGGAATTGTCTTACTGTCCCATAACGGACCGGAGCATTACACCCAGTTCCTGTTGCTCCACCTCTCTGTGGAGGACATTCTCCCTGTTTCTATCGGCTTGCCAGGCCAGGCGGAACCTGATCAGAGGCTTCTATTCTTGATGGACACGCCAAGAATCCACCTGATTTTTGGTGACAGAAACCTGTCTGAGGATGTGTCACATTGTCTGAGGGGAGGCAGGAGGCAAATTCCAGCGACTCTAACATTGACTGAGACTACTCAGGAGCTTCTGGGCCATTTTGGTGAATTTGTTCCTCAAAAGTCATCTGTCCCTTCGACAGTCTTTCACTTAGTTTAGGACTCAAGATCTCCATTTGTAGTGTGGCGAAATTTAGGAAACAATATGTATGTTTGGAGAGAGAAAGCCAGATACGCAGGAGAAGGCTTGCTGTGAGTGGCCACTTTGATTTTTCTGTTTCTAGAATTTCAGATTTCTTTGGCATATCATTTCTGAGAGCTGTTCCTGAAAACACCTGTACATTATAACCTCCATTAGGTACACAAAAGCTATGGATTGGGGGATATGCCAAACCATGAAGATGAGAGGCCTCCATTTTGCTTCTCTTAGCCGTTAGTTTGTGTTCATACCATTAATCAAATAAAAGATTAAATACCACAGGAGCAAGTGATGTCAATTCCTAAACTACTCTTAGAGGGCAGCTAGAAATCCTCAGCCATTCTGAACAGCTAGGGAGAGGCGAGGGGGTCAGCTTTTGAACACTGGTTTCGCAGCTCCCGTTGAATTCTCAGTACAGGCCTGTGAGAGTGAGGGAGGGTTTGACATCTGCCAGCAACAAGATCCATGGGGTCAGTGCTAACGCCTCTCCTGTTTAGGTCTTGTTCACAGTCCCTTTAGATATTCAAGATAGACCAGGATCCTGTGTTGCAAATCCTGTGTAATAATTTCTGGTTCCTTGAATTTCACTCACCTAGTTTCAATTTCACTACTAACGTATTACAGTTCATAATTTAAAAGGAAGGATTTATGTGCATATAGCAATTTCAAAGGTGGACTCAGGATCCATTATTCTACAGTGTCTTTCTGCCCTTGAGCTCACAGGGCTTTGTAGATGATAAGAAACTATATCTTGAAGGGTACTTTTTGACTTGTCCAGAGGGCTACCTTTCTGACTGATCAGCTTTAGAGAATTCCTATTGTCAAACTGTGAAACTTTTGTCCAATCAGAAGCCTGAAGGAAAACCCTCCAGCACGACTCTTTATACAGATCTGTGTAGAAAGACGAAAGGTCAAATATGAGAGGGATTTTCCTTCCCAGCAGCACTCAGCCAAAGAAATGAGCTGGGAGGAAACTCTGCAGGGTAGAGATGCGTCAGAAATTAGGTTCCAGGAATACAGAAATAGTTCTCTGATGTTTGCGTTATCAAAATACGATGAAATCTTCCTATTTTCCTCCCAGACCTCCATAGAGGGACCTTTTCTCCTTGGAACTACCTGAGGTTCAGGTAGGTCCCCCCAGCTGAGCAGGTGAGTGATAATAACTGGATAGGTTTTTCTCAGACATGATTAATGCAATGTCAAATAATTGGAATAATAGGCGATTTTAAAAAAAATATGCGTTTATACATATAAAAGCGGTTATAAAAAATGTCTTTATTAAAATAACCATTAAATGACTCTGTGCCTGTTGATAGGATAAGGCCTTTCAGATACAAATCCTTATCCTGCCGGCTGCTTGTGCCTGTGTCTTTGAGCCTCTCACGGGTGAAGATTGGCTGCAATGTGTCTTTCTCATCAGCTCACTTCTGAGAGAGACCTGCCTTGCTTATCTCAGGGATTATCTTTAACACAGTTTCTTTTTATTTATTGATACTTCCTCTTTCCTGCAAGAAACCGAAAAAAGGAACGGTGCATTGTCTTAGGTTGGGTTTCCTAGGAAACAGACCCTGGAATGGGGCTTTGTGTACAAGCATATGGTTGGGGAGGGCTCTGGGGATAGACGCCTATGGTAGATGAAGGAAGGAGGATTGGACAGAGGGAGGACTGTGACATAGTCACCACAAAGACTGCAGCTGGTCCTGATCCCCTGGGGCCTGTAGGGCTGGATGGTCCTTCAGAGTTGCCCAGGCGTGAGACAACCACGTGTGCCAGCCAGTGGATGTGTGCTACCCCTGGGGAGGAGCCAAGAGCTTGGGCAAGGCAGCATTCTTGGGCTGAGAGCAATCCCCAGAGAAGGACTCATTGAGAGCCTAGTACTTAGCACTCTCAGCGGCTGGAGGATGAGTGCCTCAGTCGTGAAGGGAGAGATCTGGGTGGTACACTGTGGAATCCACTACATGCTCCTTATGTGACTTTGTTCTTAAATGTTTGGAAAACCTGATGCCTCTCTTTCCCATGCGAGTCTCTGTTTCCTACCAATGTATTTGCTCAGTTTGGGAGTTAGAGTTCCTTTGTGTAGTGTGTGTGTATATACATACACATCCTATATCGTACATCTATCTATTACTACATATACATGATCAATATCTGTATCTGCCCAGGTGTGCTGTGCTGGTATGCTCAGGATTTCATGGGTCTTTCTAGGTGCGCCGAGGCAGACCAAAGGCTAGTGAGAGGAGGCGCTTTTGAAATGAGTTTTTAAAAATTTTCCTTGATTTAAAATCTTCTGCCAGGGCTGGGTGCGGCCTTAAGGATCAAAGAGTCCTCAGCCTCTGGCTGCCTGAGTGTTTGTAGCCATATGATGACAAAAAAGTGCTTTCCCTCCAAGAGCCGTTTGTGATCACTCTGTGGAGCTTGGAGAGTGAAATGTGTTTTTAGACGAGGGAAACACACACCTCACTGAGGAACCTTGGCTCTGAGACCTTGGCTGCCGAGAACCACCAAGTTCTAGAGGGCTGTCATGTTGTTCTGTGAAGTAACAACTAGAGGTCTGCAAACTGTTCCATGGTTGGCTAGATCCTGCTATTGAGTGACACATTTCCGAATGTAATTCACATATGCGGTGCTTAAGTCGGTATAGGGCTTGCTATCAACCCCTGAGATGTTGGAATTCTTTCAATTTGAGTTTATGGATGAGGAAATAGAGGCTCTATGAGGTAGACCAACTTGCCCATGGTCTATGCGGTTTAGAAGTGAGGTGCTCCCGCATGCCGGTTTGCTCCAAGTGTCCCCATTCATTCTGTTCTTCTTGTGGAATTGTTAGTAGTACTCCCTTTACACTCACTCAAATTTCTTGACTCAGATGATATGTGATCTGGCTCTTGAGTCCAAGCCTCTTGACACCAAATCTCACAAGCTTCCTTCAATGCCTTGCAAATACTCTTAGAAAGTTCTAGCTTGTCAACTGCGTGTGGCCTCTACAACCTGGAATGGTCCTGTCCCACTGAGCAGTGTCTTTGGCTCTGCCCACAGTCTTCTATCTTCCTCCACAACACAGACCAGGAGCAACCAGCACTGACTATATTTTTCACTAAAAGTTTTTCCTCAAACACGTAGGATCACAAAAATCTGACCCAATAGAAACACTGACGTAAGGCTGAGAGATGTAAGTTTTTATTCAGTTAATGGGGCTCCCTTGTGTTCTTTTTTAGACTTAGGGCTCTTGGCCCTGTGCTGATTTTTATGACTGAGCGATATCGTCTGATGAGTGGATTAGTAGTCTAGATTCTGAAACTCACGTTCGACCCTCTGTCAGCTGAGATACTTGGTATTTTCCCAGGAAATAGCACGGTGAACACAGCTCCCAGTGAGAAGACCCTATATTGCTCTCCCGGTTCAAGGCTGTTGGCACTTTCTTGACGGCAGCTTTAGGTGTGAGGCTGGCATTTGGAGAGTGTCTGAATAGTGAGAAATGAGTTAGCGTCAGCCGCGTCCTGCGCTGGGCAGCCCCATGGCGAGACAGGTCATAACACTAAAGCCATAGACAAACATCTCAAAAATTCCCCCACCCTCAAATAACCCCAAGTGTTATCAAACCCGTTAGGTTTGATAGTTCTAAGAGCAATGATGGAGTATGACTTCAGAAAAAAAATTTCATAATATTAGTTTAATATGACTCATCCTTCAAAGCAACTAGTTGATTGACCCAACATTTAGAAATCTATTCATAGGAAGAATTATGACACCCTGCCTTAGACGTCACCTAAAAGGGATCAGGCTTGTCTTAGCAGTAAGCACCGATTTCTGTTTTTATTAAAAATGGCATTCCCCCACCTTCCATTAATAATATACACAAAGAAGTTTTCTGGTTAGAATTAGTTCGGAATAATTTGAGGAGTCAAAATGACGTTAATTAAAAAAAAAACCCTTGAAATCCTGCTTTTCAGGAGATTCGCCATCACACAGTTGAAGGAGGAAAGAAAGATTTATTTTTCTAAGTGACTTTTTTACTTACCGGGGTGAGAGAGGCAGAGAGATGGAGAGAGAAGCTGAGGTCTCTTTTATGTGTGTGAAAACAGCAAAGTCTCCTTTGAGCTTTCACTTTTTATCAAAATACACAGGCAAATTAGAGAATTAAAAAGTTCCCAATTTAAAAACTAACAAATACACCACAAGAAAAGCCAAAGGCCAGGAAGACCCTCCCCAAATGCCAGCTAGTAACCCTCTTGGCTGAGGTCAGAAATGAGCAGAAAATGCTTCTCTTCGATAAAAACACTTGATATCATTTTGGTTTCCATGTAACATTTTCCTGTACAGCTGCAGAAGATAGAGTTTTCAATTAAATAAACGGCTCACTTAAGAATTGAAAGCATTGGACAACGCCAAAGGAAAAAAAAAAGAAGAAGAAAAGAAACAGAATCAATTGACTGTTGCTCTTCTCCCCCTAGATTACTTACCTGGCAGCTTTGAAGACAGTGGAGGCTCCTCAGGTTAAGTTTGACATCGATACAGAAAAAAAATCTCTGGGAGATTTCTTAGTGGGATCACTCAGGCCTGTGGCGATCTAAAATATTTCAGTCGCTACCATTCCCTGATCCAACTTTTTGTCAATTTACTAATTTTCTGTCTTCAATGGTTCATTCAGGACTTTTCTTCCCTTTTCTTTCTCCCCTCACTATCCTTCCAGGCACCCAGGAAATGTGGGTGCTCCCCATTCCGATGCGTTCTTTTGGATGCATTCGGTCTCATGAGGCCATTTTGAAGAGAGACGTTTGGACAAGGCTTAAAAACAAACTGTAAAACCCCTAGCTCTTAACAAAGTGCTAGATAGTATGTGAAATAGACATTCTCATCTTATTCGTGTTGACTTCCTTCTGCACTCATCCCGTTCTCTGTTCCCAACCTTGGGCTCTAGGAAAGACCCAGCAATGGGCTGAGTTTGTCTGTAGGGCACCTTAGTTGCAATCAAAATTGTCTTTACATTTCACTGACCTGTTTTGATATGATTACTTCAAATTATCTTTCCCAAAGTGCTTTGCTTTGGAACAAGCCATCTCAGAGAAAAAAGAGTAATATATCCAAGTAATCATGGTATAAAGAGTTCTGAACCGGTTATTAGAGGCTGCCCCATCTTTTGATAATGGGTTTCTTTCTTAACATACTTCTTTTACGTTATTTTGAAGATAAACCTTTATCCCACTCGAGATGTGCTGGGAAGCATGTAGCCAGGACTATGGGAGTCACAGCACAACTTTTCTTGGGATAGAAAATAATAACCTGGAGAATTTCCTATCACTTTATTCTTCAGCTCAGCCACAATATGTGAGAGGAAAAATATGTAATATTGTATTGAAATAAACAGAAGGAAAAAAGGGAGCTCTGATTGTTAAAGCCATATTTAGACATTTGTCCAAAGATTTGTTAAATCTCTCCTTAGATTTTGGGAATCTAATTATGGTAATATCAATAGCCTATGTATATATTGTCTGAAACTTTCTTGTTCCGAAGTCCTGGTCGGATCTGCCCAAAGCCCCCTTCCCATGTCTTGTGGAGATCTGGAGCTCTTTCCGTGCCCCTGACTCTCGGGCAGTGGGTGGGAGGATGGTTCTCACAGCTCACGGGCACCTCAGCCTGCAGGCTCTGGCATCTGCCGAATTTGGGGAGGTTTTCGATGGTCTTGTCACTTCATGCAGGTTGTCATTCTTTCCCATTGCGCTGACATAGATGTGGAACTCAGCTCCTTTCCCTGATATCCACAAAGATTATGCATACAAATTCTTGTGTGTGTAGGAGATTTTTGTAAAATTGTAGGGGAATGTTAGTGGGGGTAGGCATTGGGAAAGAGCAAAGTGTTTAATTTCAAAATGCTAAGTATTTCAGACTTAATGTTCCTAGACTTAAAAATGTCCTTAAGTTATCCAGTATTTGGGATTAAAAGTGAGAAAATTCAAAATTTGAAATATTTAAATATAGAGGCAGAACAACTAATAGTATAATGAAGGCCAATGTCCCCACCACCCAGACTTAGTGAATCTTAACAATACACCATACTTTTTCTGATACTTTTTTTTTTGAGGAACATTAGCCCTGAGCTAGCATCTGCGCCAGTCTTCCTCTATTTTATATGTGGGATGGCTGCCACAGCATGGTTTGATGAGCGGTGCATAGGTCCCTGCCCGGGATCCAAACCAGTGAACCCCGGGCCTCCAAAGCGGAATGCACGAACTTAACCGCTGCTCTACCAGGCTGGCCCCTCTGACACTTCTTTTTAATGAAATACAACATTATGGGCAATGTCAGGGGTCTTGTGTGACCCTCCCTGATCGTGTTCCTTTCCCTCCTCTGGTAGATAGCTTTTCCCATCACCTGAGTGTTTATTATTCTCGTGCCCAGTTTTATACTTCTTTTTCTTATGTACGTAGCCTCAATCAGTATAGATTATTGTAGTTAATGTTTTTAACTTTACGTAATTGACATCAAACTGTACATAACATTCTTCCACTTGTTTTTTCATTCAACCCTGATGCGTGCAGCTTTATGTCATGTCTTAGGAGCTGCATGGTGTTCCATTGTGTGAATATTCCACAATTTATCCATTTTCCTACTAATGAACCTTTAGGTTATTTTCAGCCCTAGCTATCACATTCACAGTGTTGCAATGAACATTCTTTTCATTTTTCCTTGAACGCACGTGTGAGAGTTTCCTCAGGGGCTATGCCTACAAGGGGATTCGCTGCCTGCTTCACCCACTCAGAGCCCATAGGCTCATGTTACCTGCTGATTCCAATACTTCCTCCTTTTTAATTCCTCTTCCTCATTCTTTTTTGTGTAAAATATCCTCTGTCACTCAAAATTATCTAGATTCTGTTTTGGGTTAAGCAGTTCAGCTCTTTCTAGCCCTTGCACCTAAACTCAGTTCTTGATTCGTCTTGCATATGCAATTCTATTACGGCATTCTGTAGGACAGAACCAACCAAACATATCCCTCCTTTAACAGGACCCAGCCTCATTAGAAGGAGATTGTGATTGTAAAAGGAATTTGATTTCTCTAGTGCTTTTGGGAAAGGACTCCCATAGAATAATGGTTTGCTATATCTCTTGGACTAGGGAATCAGCATGTGCTTGTGAGATTTTGTCTTCAAGAATAAAATACACTAGTCATTCATTCAACAATCATTTATTGCATATGTTTACCTGGCACTGTACTAGGGGCTGGAATGATCACAAAAATGAATCAGATCCTGGGGCCTGCCCGGTGGCGCAGTGCTTAAGTTCGCGTGTTCCGCTTCTCAGCGGCCTGGGGTTCGCCGGTTCAGATTCTGGGCGCGGACGTGGCACCACTTGGCACGCCATGCTGTGGTGGGTGTCCCACATATAAAGTAGAGGAAGATGGGCACGGATGTTAGCTCAGGGCCAGGCTTCCTCAGCAAAAAGAGGAGGACTGGCAGTAGTTGGATCAGGGCTAATCTTCCTCAAAAAAAAAAAAAAAAAAAGAATCAGATCTAAAGAACTCCCAATCTATTCAGGGAAATAAACACTTAAACAAATACTTTAAAAAACTTTCTTCCACAAGTAGAAGAGAGTGCTGTGGAAATATTGGGAAAGGGATGTTAGCTTTATTGAGAAGACTTCAGAAAGGAGACCACAACAGAAAGAATAATTGCCAAGTGCAAAGCTTAGTAGTCTAGTGGGGTTGGAATAGGCAAGGAATTTGGTGGCCAGATTTCAAAATCTTGGAAGGAAAATTGAGAAGCAGTAGCAAGGTAGAGCAGTGCCAGATTTTGCGTGGTTGCGTGTGCCAAGCTCAGCTGTCGGAATCGTAATCTATAATCAATGGGGGAGGCATGAGAGTTTAAAAAATGAAGGTGTTATAATACTAAATCTGGGCTATGAAAAAGAAACTAACAGCTATCTGTCAATTTGGTGACCACTTAGGTTGTTCGGGTGGCATTCCAGGGGCGAATGTAGAGGGATTGAACAAAAGTAGTTGGGGAAGAATGATGAAAAGTCAGTCAGGAAATTTCAGGATTTACCGTTGTCAAACACAAAGATGGTCCGGGCTTTGTGAGGGAATGAAAGGAAGGAAGAGCAAAAGATAAGAAGAATCCTAGTTTGGCAGGCTAATCAGGTCAGGATGCCATTCTCCAAGAAAAGGAGTTTGGGAAGAGGGACAAGTCTTTATTGGAAAGCCATGAATTTGGTCTAGGTAATTTTTAATGTCAAGTGCTTGTGAGAAACAGGAAAGAGTTGTCTGTCTGTGGCCAGGGGAACTATGGTTTAGTATTCAGGAGAGGTAAGACCAAAGGGGGAGAGTTGGGGGAGGGTTTCAATACTGTTAAAAGCAGCAGAGAAGTCAAGGAAGATGAATGCCGAACATAAAGCATATGGAGCAAAATCAGTAGTGTTTCAGCAGAAAAGGCTTCAGCTGAGTGAACGGAAGTTGATGTGGTGGACACTGCTAATTTGATCACAATTATCTATTTTTCCAGCCTTCTTTACCAATAAAACCCTGGTTTTATTTAAGGGGCAGTGAGCATCTAGGGATGACCATGTGGGACAGTTCTGGCCAATGAGACATAAGTGGAAATCTGGTGGGGATTTCTCGGGAAGTTTTAAGTTTCCTGATGGGCATTGATTCTTTTCACTTTTTCTCTTTGCTCTTCCTCTTTCTTCCTTCCTAGAATACTAAATAAGGCCGCAAAGATGAGGATGAAAGCCTGCAGGTTCAGGATGGTGGGAAAGATGGCATTGGTGAGCACTGTACAGCCCCGGTCTCCCTGCCCCTAGAGTTCTTGTTGTGTAAGACTGTTTAAGAGCTTCAGTTAGATTATTTAGAGTTATGTTAGTGGGATGTGTTTTCATTATCAGAAGCTGACTCCCCAGGTCAGTATTAACTCCAGGCACTGGCAACAGAGAATCTGAGTCTTCAACCTTGATAGCAAGATTGACTTGACCTCCCCTTGTATGATTAGTCTGTGGATTCCTGCATCGAAATCTCTTGAACAGCTATAAAAATGCAGACACTAGAACCTCACTCTAGATTAACTAAATCAGATGATCTGGGAATGGACCCTGGGAATCTACTTTTAATACACTAGGGTTTGAGAAATACAGCATTAGTTTATGATTCCTCTATACCACTTTAAGATTCATGCATATAGGCTTCTAGTCTCCAACTATGGGCAGCCAGTGAAAGTAACCTTGTGTCCACACATTAGGGGTGGATGGTTATGTCTACATCTGGATGGGTTGAAGAAATATTTAAAGGGTTAATTGGAAACCTAGTGTCAGGAAAGTCAGGCTTGCATGTTGACATGCTCTAATTTGATCCTATGAAACATCAGTAGTCGGTGCCTTTGAAATCTCTGAAGGAATGGGAGGTCTCGAGGGCTACTGAATCAGTGGGGGAGGCGGGGGGGACATTGGAGCTGGAAGCCAAGTTGGTTAGTCTACACCAGCTATTTTTTGAGATAGTGACACTTTCACACCACTATATAGCTCTTGTTGTGAGTCACTGGAGTAGATTATTACATAGTTTTGCCTGCCATTTTAACCCTTAAATAAGAGCAGACAATTTTTTTTAATTCCCAGGAACAAACGGTAACATCTAGCAAGCAGTTTGCATCGACTCTGCACGACAACCAAAAGTGGGTAAGGTTTTGAACTTTTTACTGGCAGTTTCTCTCTTTGAATATGTATTCTGAAGAGTTTTTTTTTTTTCAGTATGCTGTGTTGTCCAAATGAAAATTCTCCAAAATAATGACATCAAGATCAAACCAAGATAAAGAGCTGGCATCATTATACTTGACAGGCATATACAGTACTTATGCTGAAATTGAAATGATCAAAACTAACCTCATGGAAAAATGTAAGCACCCAAAGGTTGTAAGAAAAGTCATACAAATCAAATTTATAAAGCAAATAAATCAAATTTATAAAGCAATTCTAATGCCACTTTTGAAAAAAGTAAATTCCCTCTTAGAGGACTCATCGACTTCATCCTAGTCCAAAAGCTTGTTGGGTGGCAGAAATGATGATGATTATAGCCTGAGACATCAGTAAAACTTTTGCATCCACAAAAAATGGGAAAACAGACCTTTAGGCAAAACGCTAAAAATAGGCTCATTTTGGTGAAATGAAGCTGTTTGAATAAATGCAACTAATAGTTTTTATCTAAACCATCTGTGGTGTGAAATGGGAAGTCATATGGAAAAGTCCTTAGAGACTTCTGATTGCTCTACATTAGAAAGGAGAGGGGGAGAGAGAGAAAAGGGGTTTCTCTCCGTTTATCTGAGAATTAACAAAGTGATCAGCAAAGTGACAGTGGAGGCCAACTCGTGCTGGCTGCAGGCAATCTGGCTCCCCCAGCTGTCCATGTGCTGAAGGTGAATGTTCTGGGAACGCAAGACCAGAATCATTTCAAGAAACTGATAGGTTATATAAAGTAGCAGATTCTTTCCTTTGTAAGAAAGGAGAGAGAAGGAGAATGAGAGAGAGAGAGAAGAAAAATCCACTCTAAAACCACCCCCAGGGACTTAGTGTAGTAAAGGACTGTCACTTCTGTTGTGTTGGTCTGCTAAAACCACATCTGGAAACCAGGTGTTAAAAATGACCCAACTCAGCAGTGAGAATGGCTTTGTAGATACACATATTTTGTAATATTACCCGGAAATTACAGTTTCATTTAGATATATCGTTCTTCCTTTCTTCTTGTATGAAACTCCTGCCAAGACCAGATTTAAGTTTCTGTGGGTCTACTTTGATAAAAAAACAAAAACAAGACAAAATACAAAATGCTCCATAGACTTGGTTGCAGTTTACAAAGAGGTGAATTCTAAAGGGTTTCCTCGGGCCTGGGAAACTGGATAAAACCAGATCAAAGATAAATCTAGCAGTGATGATTGGTGCAAGCTACTTTTTTATGGTGCACTTTCCACATATTTGAGCATCACACCAATAATGTTAGGTTTCTGGAGGGACTTGATCCACAGACCACGCACCATGGGAATAGCTCCCTTTCATTCATTAGTCTCTTTGGTTCTTGAGTAACCACAGTGGGATCCTCAACAAATCATTGGGACACCTCACTTAGTTCATTGGCTTTTTCAGATTTAATCTTGGAAATAGTATATTCCTTCACCTCCCACACTCAGTTTACTCATTTCAGTAATCAAAGAATTATAAGCCAATGAGAGGCAACCAAACTTATAAAGCCAAGAAGACAAAGTTTACCGAACGTTCTCCTGCAGAGCATGATAAGAATACACCTAAGGAATCCCTGTGCCCCCACCCTGGCCTTTCTTGGATTCTATTGAAAATCATATTAACTTTTGGAGGGACAAAAAGTTGAGGCTATATGCTCTGAATTTAATTTGATTAGCAACAGATATGCTTTGACTCCAGCGATGCAACAGTCCCTTTTGAGTGAGGTCTAAGGTACTATCCATTGGATCAAGTAGAGAGGGTACATTCTTGCACAGTCCAGCACTTGGCCTAATTTCTCCGAGTGGGCAGGTCCATACGGTGGTAGCTTTTGCACTAGAAAATGGCCACAGTACCCATAAGTCTAGGGCTATTTTAGGACTTAGAACATTCTGTGTCTTACGGTCCTAGATTAATTTTTAAGTGAATTCTGCCTTCTAGATTCTCCTTTGTCCATAGCCCAGGCTTTGGCAAGACCAAGAATTAAAGCTCTGAGCAGTGAGGCCAGCTCAGTGGGGTTCAGTGGAGCTCAGTGAAACTCACATTGTGCCTTCTCTTCTTAATAGCGAGTCACTTCATTTCTTTAATTGTAAGTGCTGAATTAGTATTATTTCTCATCTACCTTTCACCCACCATCATGGACTGTGGAAACGATTAGGGATAGAGTTCCTGGATGTCCGTGGAGGAGTGGCATACTCTCAGGGCTGAGTAGTATGGTTCCTTTGGCTATGCCTCGGAATTCAATGGGATTTGATCCCAATTCAAATGTCAGATATCAGACTGCATCAATAACAAAGACTTCAAAACAAAGTTATTTGGAGGTTAAACATTGACAAACACCTACTTTAAATGTCCATCCAGAAAGCTTAGCTCCCAGGTCTTCCCCCCCTCCCCCCCAGGAGCATAATGGAAAGTGCCAGCAGTGAAAGGGTTAAGAGATGACCATGTCCTTTTGCATCTGCTCTGACAACCTATTCCAGCCTGATGCAACTTGAAAAGGTTGAGGTTAATCCTCAAAACGCAGTCATATTGGTAAGACCAATGTGACCTTCACCGTAACACTGGGCCCTTTATAGCCTGATGTTTAACTACATTGGAATGTTGTTCTTTCCATTTCCTTTACGACTGTACTTGGCTTTGAAACTCCTGGGTCTTATTCCAGTACAGAACTCAATCTGCCCTCTCTCTCAGAGACTTCAAAACATCCAAACCTGCCTTATTCTACAGTTTCTACTGAATCAGAATGCGAGGTGCCTGCTTTACCAGGTGGCTTGTCCTCTTTCAGAGTCCTAGGGAGAAACCTCAGTTCATGAGAGAAGGATTAATGGCCACTACTGAATTTCCCTCAGCATCCCACGGTGGGGTCTTTTCCCAGTGGCATGGCTGATAGGGCATGTGCCAGTCGGAGGAAACAAGACATGAATTTTGGAAATCTGATGGCTCTAAGCCTTTGATCGCCACTTTCTAACTGTCTTTAAAACCTTTTGCCGACAACAGTTGCAAGCTGTGGTTTTTTGTCTGTGTGAGGTGACTAACAGCGTTACCACTCTCTATGTGGGGAATGCATTCATCTAGCACCCAAACCACCTCCTGACTTCCGGCACCTCTTATCAGCTAAGCCATCGGCCGCGAGCTGACATTTCAGCACTCAGAAGCTCCCCACCCCCACTTCAAAAAAAAAAAGTGACAGGAGGAGAAAAAGGCTCATTTGGCAATAGTTTGCTCTTGCTGTTTGGCCTGGAGAAAGACGTTCAAAGTGGTAGAAGATTGTTTAGTAACAGCTGGCGAGCACCAGGGTGTGAGGCTGATTTTCAGATATGACAGGCACTTACAGGAATGCTGCCAGATACAGCTGTTTAAAAGCCTTAATAAACAGCAAGTCAATACTAATCTTTGCCAAATTAATCTTTTCCCTGACAGCCCATCAGGGCAATTATGTTTAGGCTTATTGTAAACACACAATTGTCAAACAGGGATGCTGCAGCCTTTAAAATACTGTAGTTTAGTTCATGCTCTTTCTTTAGAATGATTGTTTTTCTGTAGAATTGTAAGTCTTTCCATTCTATTTTCCAGTCGCTATCTTTTTTTCTGTCCTCATGTCAGTGTGAATGAAATTTCGCTTTCAGATGTCCTTGCTAGCAAGCTGTTAATAAAATGTGAAATGATGACAGTTGTAGGATTAGTGCTGGTGGGCACCTTTAATGAGGCACCATTCTGACCAGGGCTGAAATATAACACATCGTCGTGCTCAGTTGTCTCCTGGTCCTGGAACAAGAACTCGGTCTTCACTTACCTACTACAACGTAAGCTGGTTCTGGATACAAATGACAAGACGTTGACTGAGTAAGAAAGGAGATAGCAAAGTCTAATGTCTCTGTATACACGTGTATCGCCAAGTGTGTGTGTGTTGGTTGGGAAGTCACCCCTTCCTCCCGCAGTTCCAGCCTTCCTCCTTCATGAGTGGTGATGTCAGGAAGCTCCACATGCCCTTTCTCCAAGGAATAGTCTTGTGTAAGGATCTGGAAACTTGTCTATAAGGGAAGGCTCTTCCAGCCTGGAACCTGGTTCCAAATAAACCTAGGGAAATTTCCTTTGAGAATCTTAAAAAATAGGACCATTTCCTCTTATCCTGGTGTAGTTTAGGTAAAGTCCAGGAAATATGGTCTTTTATTTATTTCATCAAGTCATACTAACACTTGGTAATTAGAAAAAAAAAAATTTCAGCATCCTGTTCGTCAATGTTTTAATTTAGCATTCCATACACTTGTCTCCTGAAATTTCTTTCTTGCGCTCAACACTCCTACTCGTCTAGCACCTTTTTTCTCCCTTGCTTCTTATTTTCTTGATGTGACTAGTGGTGTATTATATTTTTTACTTTTGTAACTAGAAACTCTTGTTCAATTATGTAGACCAGAAAAGTATGGCACAAGTCATTTTGAAATTCTTTCTTTCAATCTTTTAGTAACCTTAGATTTCTTAATGAGAAATTTCCATTCTTCTTCACCTCCTAATGCTTGCCTGCACTATTTAATTTCCTTCTATGTTTAAAGAGCTTTTAAATCATCAAGAAAACATCATACTGAGCCAGCCCCAGTGGCCTAGTGGTTAAGTTTGGTGTGCTCTGCTTCGGCAGCCTGGGTTCAGTTCCCGGGTGTGGACCCACAGCACTTCTCTGTCAGTGGCCATGCTGTGGCGGCAGCTAACATAAAAAAAAAAAAGAGGAAGATTGGCAAAAGATGTTAGCTCAGGTGAATCTTCCTCAGGAAATAAAAAAATACATATAAAAAGAAAACATCATACAATTCCTGTTGAGAATAATTTGTGATGTTTCACTGATCTTTCTATACATGATTGCATTTATTGAGCACCTACTATGTGCTGTGACATTCCAAGTTGCTTTGGAGGTAAAGAAATTATTCTAATTTAGGGAAACAAAGAGAGCTTTGCTGTTGTGTGACATATGAATTCACACATTAGATGACTCAGTGTAATAAATATTTGGGGGTTAAACTTATGATGTGAATTCTATACCTTGCTTTGCCACTATTTCAATGTTCAATCATCAGCAAGAGATGAATTTCTCTGTGTTTCTATCATTACATGAAAATGAGACTTATGAATGGAATAAGAAAACGCAGATCAAGCCCCCTTTCAACAAATAAACATTAAGAGAACATCTGTGTGTAACAAAAACTTTCATGTTCCAGCAGACAACTTATTTATTACAAATTCCCACATAAAACAGTTTACTATAACAAAGAAGTAAGGATGTTTATTGAAATTTACTGGAATCTGGTAACTTTAAACATTCTTTAATTCAATGAAGCTAACTGGGACTGATTTGAAGAATGGGGCACCTTATAAACAAACATAACTGATTACTTCTTTGAGTATTTTCTCCTGGGACTTTGTAAAGAACTTCTAACTCCATTTGAAATTATGTGTAAAGTTGTAGCCCATACCCCACTATCTGTAGTTCCCAAACATTTTAGGTGGGACCATATGAAATTGCCATTTTTGTAAGCAAAAAGGTCAAATATTGGCAATTTTGTATAGCTCAATCTAATTACCTTTCAAATGAGTGGGCATCTCTTTTGCAAAAGGTCACGAAAAAAGGAAACTGGCTGTTGACATGCTTATTTTATATTTTGAATTCGTAAATTAAAAAAATTTCTTGGTAATGAATCTGAGCCAGGACACACTGTTACACTTTGTAGTCCTGGCCCTCCATGGACCACTCACGTCCCATTCGGATGGGGGTCTTCCTCTTTAAGGCAACAAAATGAGGACAGCCACAGAGACGAACTTTCATCCTGAGCTATGTCCACTAATTTGATTAACTGGAAGTCATTACTTGACTAATTTTCCATTGTCAACTCATTTACATTTGAATGGGAATTGGGATTTTGGCTTATTCTTTCTTGTGTACTCAAGATGCAACTCAACCCTCTACCTGCTGTCACACGTTTCGCCTTTTCTGATTAGTTCTAATTTTGACTTTGGCGTGTTGGTAAAGATATTTTATGTCCAGAATTACTGCTGAATCTCCCAGTATGTCTTTATTCGAGGTCCAGGGATCCTGTGGAGTGCTACGGCAGGGGACTGCATGTACATCATTACTGTTTCTTCCAGTTACAAGCTACAAGGTGCTGTGCCCAGGCCGGATTCTAGCTTCCTTAAAGGAAGAGGATTCCTCAGGCAACACTTCACCATACTAGAGCTCAGGCTGAGGAGGGGGCCTTCTCAGCGTTTCAGGAAAGAACGTCTGTGGCCGTGGCAGCCATTAATCTGCACTGGGCCCCATCGCTTCTGCCATGAAAT